AAAGGGAAGCCATGGGAATTAGTGGAGGATAGAGGCAGCTTGAAATTCTGCTTGGGCACCTGAGTCAGCAAATAGCTCCAGGCTGTACTGAATGCACACTGGGCCCCAGTCCCTTAGTCTTATCTCAAGATGGCAGAGAATGAGGCATCTTTAGAAGGTACCCTGCATGTGGATCTCAATCTTAGTTCCCAGTCTCCGAGTCCTGGGATGCAAAGGTTTTCTAGTACCTTTGGTATCATGAGGCATCTCTGACGGATCTACTCAGGTTCTCAGATGCATGTGGGTCCCATTTATCTGGGGCAGGGAACCTGTGGCCTCGAATCCACATGTGGCCCTCTAGGTCCTCAAATACGTCCAACTGACTGAATCCAAATTTCACAGAACAAATTTCCTTAATAAAAGATTTGTTCTGTAAAACTTGGACTCAGTCAAAGGGCGGCACCCAAGGACCTAGAAGGCCACAGGTTCCCCACCCCTAGAACAGATCTTCTGAGATCTGTTGATAAGGCTTACCCTATACCTTCCTCATAGGTTTGTTGTGAAGAAAGCACTTTATAAAACCAGAATTTATAAATTTACAGCACCACCAGAAAGTGAGTTGTTACCATCTCCTAGTTTTGATATTGTATGCCAAGGTCTCTTACAACTCCAAGGAAGGCAGCAATTGTGTTAATGCTAGGAATGCAGGATAAAAATTTCCCAGGTCTCCGTCCACCTCCCTTTGATCTTGCTAAGTGAAGCTCTCAGGGGGATATACATGCCTACAAGGGGAAAGATGGGAGTTGGAAAGAGTCAAAAGGAATTTTCTCAACCAAATCTGATAGTAGACTGGGATCAGAGGATGGCCGCAGAGGCACAAACAAAGGAGTTTAAAAAGGCAGACTTAATATTAACCCAAGCATTTCTGTTGGTATTTTCTGTCCATTTGTCTGAAGGCAGGTGTGGACCAGAACTCATTAAAAAAAAATAGCTGAAATAGCTTCAAGCTATGACTAGACGCCCAAAAGCTCCTCTCTGTTTAAGAAGCCACAACACAAGTGAAATTCAGCAGAATCCCAGCAGAGAGCAGCAGACAACTTGAAGAGAGCAGCCCAGCAGAGACAGCCCTGTGGGGATGATATGACCGGCTTGCGGCTGCTTCTAGTGGGCATCACCAGAGTAAATGATGACATCAGCCGCTCCGCTAGCAAATGACAAGGGTCCGTGTCAGAGACAGAGAGGTGCTTGGTGGGCATGCTGTCAGAAGAGTGTATCCCCATGGCTTTGCATGCTCCTAGACAGCATCTGTTACCTTGAGGGCAGCTGGATGATACAGCGGGTAGTGCTGGGCCTGGAGTCAGGAGGAACTGAGTTCAAATACAGTTTCAGACGCTTGCTAGTGTGTGACCCTGGGCAAGTCATTTAACTTCAGTTTACTCTATTAATATTCCTTTTACCAGAAAGGAAAGTGAGATGAGGTATTTTGAGGGGCCCTAAATTTCCGCAGATTTACAGAGTGCCTTGAATGCATTGTATTGTTTGATCCTCACTATAGCCCTTCAGTTAGACGGTGCAAATAGTTACGTTCCCGTGGCAGTTAAGGAAACCGAGGCTTTCAGAAATAAAGTGACTTGTTGAAGGTTAAGAAATGGCAGAGCTGGGACCCAGGGCCTCTGATTCCAAATCTGGGGCTTTTTCTGTGATGTGACACTGCATTCTAAGATGCCTTTCAGCTTTAGCATTCTGTGAAAGCTCCAATCCCTGAATGCCTGAAAACCCTTCATTCCTGGTCTAGGTGGAGAGACACCATCCACACTGCTGAGATAGGAAATGCTACACCCAGAAAATGGGCACCTGAGGACGATCTGAATCCCACTCATCCTTACCCCCTCAGGAAGCATGCCCTGGTTTATGAGATAGTGGGAAAAGATCCAGTTCTGAAACAAGAGGAGCCGATGCAAATGTCATCTCTGAAGAGAATTACTACCTGTGTGACCTTGGATAAATCACTTAATCTCTCGTTATTAGCTGCATGACTTCAGGCAAGTTGAGCTTCTGTTTCCTCTTCTCTAAAATGTGAGGGTTGGATTACACAGCCTCTGAGGTCCCTCCTAGCCCCAGATCCAGGGTCCTTTCATCTCCTCGGCCCCCATTTTACAATGGAAGAAATGGAAGTTTCCTCAGACAGAAGCTGAGTGACTTTCCTAGGGTCACAGAGCTGGTAAGTGTCTGAGGCTGGATTTGAACTTGGGGCTTCCTGACTCAAGGTCCAGTGATTTATGCATTATACCACCTAGATCCCTCCGAGGAATCTCAGACCACCAAGGAGAATGCTAAGGGCATCCCATTGTCCTTCCTATACAAACTTCTTGTTGTCTGAGATCTTCCCCACATTGGACCACGAACTTATCATTTGAAGGGAAGGGTGGCTTATTTCTTATTAGTTTATTATTCATCTTGAGAGAGAGCTGATGAAAGCCAGTATAAGGATTATTGGGTTGGGGAGTCAGGAGACCTGGGTTTAAGGCCTGGTCAAACCTTACGACTCTATTTAAATGTCAGTTATATTTACACACACACACACACACACACACACACACACACACACACACGTAGCCTTTATACCTCCCTTCTAGTTATAAAAGCTGTGATCCATGATTCAAACCTTAAAGCACAATGTCAGTGTGAGTCATTGTGTGAGGTTGGGCAAGTGACTTCCAATGCGACTGAAATTTCCTCATCCATGAAACAGGGGAGGAAGTTGGGCTGGGCCATCTCTCTTCTGTCTTATTGTCTAAGGTTCTTTCCAGCTCTAACACTCTGACTCAATTCAGTCTAGTTCAACAAACCTTAAATGCTTACAATGTACAAGGCACAGCTGCTCAGGAAACAAAGACAAAAATGAAAAACGGTCCCTGCCCTCAGGTAGCTAGCAAGTGTCTAAGATAGGATTCAAACAGTCATCTATTTATCTCTAGTGGGAAGCTAATACTAATACTAATGTATGTATTGACTCCATGTACTCTAGCTAATAAGATTATCTGAGATCCTGGGGGCTCCAGGCCTGGTGGTAAGAGTGAATTTTTATTTTCAGGATCCTTCAGTATCTGAGGAAGGGACTCTAAGGTGAGAGTGAAGGGCAGCCTTACTTATTGCTATCATCAGAGCCTAGCCCTGTTGACACTCACAAAGCCTCTAAGACTGGGGCACCTGACCCCCACACGCCTAATGGAAAAGATCCTAATCCCATTTACCCTTGGGAGAGCTGGGCCAGAAAGAAGGCATTTCAGGGTCACCTCCACTGGCTAACCATTTGGGGCGGCACTAAGGCTAAGATCCCTAAGATGGGGAAGGGCTGGAAGGTGATGGGGCTATGGATACAGTGGAATTCTTTCTTCCCATTCTCTTCCTACAGCTGGCAGGCAGGGGATCCACCTCCTACAGCCAGGAAAGAGGAGGGAATTCCAGAGCTTTGTCTCATTCGTTCATTCAAGTCTGGTAGAAGTCAGTGTCAGGAAGTCTCCCACCTGTGGTCTAACCTGAATTTCTCATAGTGCCATCTAATGGCTCACAATGACATATATAATATTTTTAAGTCTAGATCATAGATCACAGGATTTATAAATAGAAGGGAGACAAATGCACACGTGTGTATATGACCATACATAGAAAGATATATTAACAGTCCTTTGAGGTGCATGTATTAGTTCCCTCATTTTACAGAGAAGGAAACCGAGGCTCAGAGAAGATTTTTCCATAGTTACATTAGCTAGAAAATATCACTGGACAAGACTCAAATCCACAGCTGCCTGATTCCAAGTGCATTACTATCCAGTAGAGCAGGGATGGGGAACCTGCAGCCTTGAGGCCACCTGTGGCCCTCTAGGCCCTCAAGATTGGCTCTTTGACTGAATTCAAACTTCAATTTCAAACTGCCTCGAGGCAGCAGGTTCCCCACCCCTGCACTAGAGGGTCCTATAAGCAGTGGTAAGGAACCTTTAACAACCAGTTCTCCAGGAGAAAAAAAAATGTAAGCACACCATACTTTTAGTACAATCTGCATTACGAACATTTTCTCTATCACTCTCTTAAGTCTAGGCAATCAATAAAATAATAAATCGAGTCCTGATTTATAGTGTTTGCTACAGATGTTCATGCTGAAAATTTAACAATCGACCCTCATGAGCTGGGTAGGAGTTGGCTCCTTGACACGTCATGGAGTCCAACCTCCTTACTTTATAGGCGAAGACAACCTTACCCAGCTAGGAAATAATAACTTGAGATTCAAACCCAGGTTCTCTGACTCTACAAATATTGTTATTCTTATTTTATAAAAGAGTAAACTGCGTCTTGCCTCATCGTTGCCTAGCATCAGAAACTAAATGGGAGTACGGTCCTCTGGAATCTGAATCTAATGCACGTCTTGCTATACCAACTAACTTAAGTTCATCTAAACTAATTTCTTTATATTCTGCCCTCTGAACAGATGGATAAAGGACAAGGTGGCCACTTCCCTTGGTTTCAAAAACTCTAGGGTCTGCCATCTTTTAGCAGAGGTTGGGTGGTAATGGTGGTGACAGAAGCAGAGAATAATAAAGGTGGAGAGGACCTTAGAGGTCATCTGGCCCAATCCATTGTTTTACAGATGAGGAGAAAGAGGAAACAAAGTCTAGAGAAGGTAGGTGATGTGGTCAGACTGTGTAGCCCAGGGCTCCTGGCTTCTTGCCAGGAGGCAAGCCTAAGAACCTTCTTCTGCTTATATCGCACTTATCTTCCTTATTTTACTGTGCCCCCTCCTAAAGACTTTCTCTTCCAAGCTGAAAATCAGGGTCTCAGGCAGGTTCAAGAAGTAGGTCTGGGGAAGCCCTGGGAGGGGTGGAGTTGGGACTGAGCTGCCCATGATCACATTCTCAAAGGCTTGTGTAAATTCCTACTCCCCTTGTGGCCCAATCTTAATCTCAGGTTGGGGGGTGGGGTGGGGCGGAGTGTGTCCCAGAAGGAGGAAGGCAGAATGTGCCCTTCTTCCCACTCTCCCTTCCTTGACTCAGCCACAAATCTAGACCCGACGTTTTTTATTATGAGACACCTCAGGCTTTGCTTGACTCAGGCTGGCTCCAAGAGTGCAGCATGAGGCCCCAAGGCCTTCTTCTCTTGGCAGCCCTGTTGGCCCTAGGCAGCCAGCTGCCTGGCACAGTAGGCTGGAAGAAGCATGGTAAGTTTGGGCAGCTGGGGTGGGGGGGCAGTAGAGGAAGGAGCCATGCCCAGCTTTGCCCCATTCGGCTTTCCAGACCTAGTCTTGGGGCTTGGGTGGCTTACATTGGGCTCCAAGACAAAGTGGCACTTGTTACCTTGAGTGGAGGCCATGCTGGGGTATGTGCATGTTTGGATGTCAATGCATTGTGATCCTGTGTATTTTTGCATGTAATTGTATCTTTATATGTGTCTATACATAGGTCTGTACAGACGGGACCCCATATATATTGATTGATGTATTGTAGATCTGTGGTCCTCTGGGTCTTTCTCTCTGTGCTTGGGCTTGTATGTTGCTGTGTGTCAGGGCACACACATGAATTATGTAGATTTGGAGATGGAATGGAGATGGTGGAGACAAGGTCGGGGTGGGGGGATCCTCAGGCCGGGGACACTTTTCCAAGATGCATGGAAGGGGAGGAGAGACTGCCCTTGCTGGTAGAGATGGGCCAGGGAGGGGAAACTCTGGATTCCTTTCTCAGATCCTGATCTGTGCCCAGGGGGCTCTCATAAGATTGATCGTGGAGCTCTGGCTGGTAGCTGATAGGTAAGCCTAGGGGGTATTCTATGGGCTCTGGTAGGTTCCAGGGAGATCAGTCTAGGGGGTGTGGGGGCACCAACAATTCATTAGTGATTCTGTTTGGGGGTTGTGAGAGACTAGAAGATGCTGATGAAGGCTGTGGGAGAATCAGGGACTCCATTTGCCAACTCAGGAATATTTTGAAGTGGGATGTGTCCCAGAGGTGAGGATAGATGAATCTGAAGGCTGGGGGCAAATTAGAATGTTCTGGCTAGGGCCTAGGAGGGAAGGGTAGGGAACTCTGTTTGGGGACGATGATCTGGGAACTCTGGTTGGTGGAAGGCAAGAGGTGAGGAAGCTTTCCCTAGGGGTATCAGGAAGATCATGGCTGAGAACTGATGGGGATTGTGAAAGGAGATTTGAGTATTTGATCTGAGGCCTACTCTGGGGACTAGAGGGTGGGGGATGACTAGGCTGGAGGCCGCAGAGTCCAGCCAGTGCCTAAACCAGACAGGGCACTCAGCGAGACCTGCTGCCAAGACTTTTGGGGTCAGGGAAGTTGCTTGGCAGGTGCCTCCCTCTCTGTATAAAGGTTGGTATCTGAAGCCTTCTACACCCTCTTAGGATATTCTGACCTATATTAGAGGCTCCTAGAGCCTGAGAAGCACAGAGGCAGGTTTAGCCCCTTCCCCATTAGGCCAGGGAACCCTGCACAATTATTTACTGGAGTGGGGGGTGGGGGAAGGGAGGTACTTCACTGAAGGGTCCAGGAAAGCTCAGAAATTGAATGGCTGAGACCCAGTGACTGATGAATTAGGTCATTCCCTAGGGTCTTGAGGAGCCCACAGGAAGGGACATGGCCTCCCTTGGTTTGGGACATCTGGAATATCCCTAGAGAGTAGAGGATGAAGCTTGAGGCATTCCTAAGGTGTATGGGGAGCCTTGAATGAATAGGAGACTGCAGCCAGGGCTGGCCAATTCCTTGGTCCCCTCAGTAGACCTAAGTGACTCTGGATCCCCGGATCCTCATATGAGAACCGATGATGTCCTTTGGAGCCTTTAGTCTATGTCCTTCAAGCCTCAAGGAGAAGCCCAAAGGTGAAGGGAAAAAGAAGGATGGAAGGGAGAGGGTACAGTCTGAGACTGAGTACTACTGAGTAGTGTCTAAATGTGGAGTAATCATAATTAGGGCAAACCTGAATGGCAGCCAGCTCTTCTTGGAAGGCAGGTCTGGGGCAGCATTAAGAACAGAACCAGGGACAATGCATGCTGATTGACTGAACTTAGGGTACTGCCCTGGAAGCAAATTTTGTTCTAGGCATCTGTTCCTTCACTATCATCCATTCCACTCCCATACCTGTTAATGCAGTCAAACTACTCCCAAACAATGTTTGTGTTCCCTCAGGAATCTCTGAAAGAACTAAAGGAATGTATTTCTAATGATGAAATGCCAAGCATCACCACAGGCCAGTGGGGGAGAATTTTGTCCAAGGTTTTCTCTCCAAGGTCCCTACATAGGCAAGGGTATATATGTGTTTGTCTGTGATTGTATATTACAATAATCTTCTAGCTGGTTCCCTTGCCTTCTCTTGTTCATCCATCATAGATCTGTCAAAACAACCCTAACGAACAAATCTGACAGTTCAAAAGCCATCGGCAACCCACTATTGCTTTTAGAATCAAATGAAAACTCCTTAGCCTGGTATTTAGTGCCTTTCACAGTTTAGCTCCAACCTATCTTTCCAGACTCAATTCACTTTGCTCTCTTTCACACTCTTTTTTCCAGTCAAACTGGACTATTTTCTTGTCCTTAAACTCAACTTCTATGTTGCACCTTGGTGTTTCCTCCCCAGCCATTCTCCGTGCCTGGAATGCACTCCCTCCTCATTTTTGTCTATTGAAATCTCCTCCTTCAAAGGTCAGTTCAAATGCCACTCCCTTCATGATGCCTCCCAAATGAAAGGGATTGCTCTCTCAAATTTTCCCAGATCATTTTGTTTCGATCTCTCCTTTGCTCTTAGTACCCCTAGGACATGATTAATGTGAGTTCAAATAATGCAAAATTGAATTTAGTATGAATTACAAAATGATAACCAGGTCGCATTCAATGCAAGCCAAAATTCAACTAACTGGAGCTAGTTGAGGGTTTTCACACATCAATTTGTACTTGCCTATCCTCCAGTATAGATGAGATATGCTGCTTGCTGCATGCCATCTTACCAACAGTTGTGTTAATTTTTTTCAAAAATAGCCCTAAACTCGTGATGAAAAATGTTATGCAGCTCCAGAAAAAGAACTGGTGGAATCTGAATGCAGATCACAGCATACTAATTTTTACTTTTTTTTTCTTTCATTTTTTTAGGGGGGAGGGTGTCTGTGTTTTCTTTCACAACATGACTAATATGGAAATGTTTTGCATGATTGCATATGTATAATCTATATCAAATTGCCTACTGTCTCAAGGAGGAGAGAGAGGGAAGGAGAGAACTTGGAACTCAAATTTTTAAAAAAAGAATGTTAAAAATTGTTTTTACATACAATTGGGAAAATATTATTATTTTTTTTTAAATAGCTCCTAACAAAATGTACAAAAAGAAGAAAAATTCAGATGGAAACATTGCTAGTGCAAAACAGAAGAGGCTTGTTATTACATTAGAACAAAAATTTTGTGTAATTAAAAAGCATGGACATGGTTATAACAACTCTAAAACAGAATGAGATATCAGAATTCCTGACTGTAAGGAATATTATAAAACATGTAGGCAAAATAAAAGAAAAAGGTAAAGTTCCATCAGCTTCTTGTGGTTTGCAAACAACTGTGAGGAAGTAAAGTACTATTTCAGTGATATAAATAGAGGTCTTTTCACTATATGGATTGAAGATCATGATAAAAATGCATTCCTCTTAGCAGGGCAACCATCAGACAAAACCTTCTAGTTTATTTAAGCCAGTGAAAGAGACTGGAAGTGAATTGGATAGTGAAGAAACTTTCACTGAGGGTATTGGTTAGTTTGATCACTTTAAAAATAAAGTTTAATTGCCTGACATTAAAAATTGTTGGAGAAGTGCCCAGTGCAGATGAGGATGAACTGCTAAGTGTCTAGATGTTCTGAAGACAATAATCAAAGAAGGTGGATACACTGATCAAGGGATTTTTAATGTGGATGAAACAGGCTCATTCTGGGAAAAGATGCCTTCCAGAATTTACATTTCAAACAAAGAAAAAACTCAATCTGAATTTAAGGTGTCTAAGGATCACCTAACACTTGAATTGGGACGTAAAGGAGAAAGGGATTTTAAGTTTCAACAAATGCTTGTTTGTTCTCAAAATACTCCCACTCTGAGAAGCTACAACCATCTAGTTCTTTGGTGGCCAAATAAAAGCATGGTTGACTACAATTGTTTTCAAAGACTGGTTTTTAGTTTATTTTAGTCTAGCTCGCAAAAAAAAACCTGTAAGTACAACAACATCACATTTGAAACATTTTAAATAATGCCTCAGGTTGTCCAACTATACTGGGTTCATTGTGTGAGAATGGCAGCGTGCTATCCAAGGTATTTGAAATGTAAGCAGCCAATTATCAGTTGTTTTCAGTCATCCCTGACTCCCTGTGATTCCATTTGGCAAAGATACTGGAGTGTTTTGCCATTTCCATCTCCAGCTTGTTTTACAGATGAGGAAACTGAGTCAAACAGGGTTAAGTGACTAGCCCAGGGTCATATGGCTAGGAAGTCTCTGAGTTCAAATTTGAATTCGGGAAGAGGAGTCTTTCCTTGAGAATAGAGGCCATAGTTTTTCACCTTTGCACACTCAACCAATCAATTAGTAAACATTTATTGAGCACCTACTCTGTGCTAAGAACTGTGTTAGATGCTAGAGATACAAAGGCAAAAATGTAACAGTCCCTACCCACAAGGAGCTTACATTCTGTAGGATGTGATATGTACCTATACAAAGACTACATATATAAACAGAAAGTTTTGCAAAAATAGGTGCTTAAGGTTATTAAATAAAATGTGCTTATGTATACATGAGACAACACTGAACATGTGTGTATGTGTGCGTGTGTGTGTGTGTGTGTGTGTGTGTGTGTGTAGAGACAGTGTGGTATAGTGGAAACAGCAGTTTAAAATCAGAAGTCCTAGGTTCAAATCCTAGTTCAGCCACTTGCTGCCTCTGTCACCTTGGACAAGTCATTTAACCCCTCTGAGCCTCAGTTTCCTCCTCTGTAAAAATGAGGCAGTTGGGTTAGATAGACCCTATGATCTATGTGGACATGTTTCTGGGACTGTACGTAGGGATGAGTGTTTGTGTGTCTGTCACATACGCCTCCTCAATCAGACCAGGGTTGTATGACCTTGAGCAACTCTTTCCCTCTGTAGGACTGTTTCCCACATGGTCTGATGTGGAGTCTGAACTAAATGACCTCTAAGGATCACAGTCTTCACCCCACTCTCTCCAGTTCTAATTGTCTCTGATTCTCTTGCAGAGAGATCAGGGGGCTGCCCACCTGACGACGGGCCATGCCTTCAAGTCATCCCAAACCAGTGCATGATGGACTCTCACTGCCCAATCGGGAGGAAGTGCTGCTCTCGGGGCTGCTTCCTCCAGTGCCTGCCTAAAGTCACGGGTATTTCTGCCCTCTGCCTCTTTTTGATCCCCTCCCTCTCTTTGCCCCCTGTTTGGCCTGGCTCATTAGCTTAGGCCTGTCTCTTTCTCTCTGTGTTTCAGTAAAGCTGGGCCAGTGTCCCATAGATTCAATGCACTGCCTCAGCCCCATCCAGCACCTGTGTAAGCGAGACAAGGAATGTTCTGGCAACAAGCGATGCTGTCCTGGAGCCTGTGGCCGAGACTGCCGGAACCCTGTCAGAGGTGCCAATCTCACCCCGTAGGGGTTACTCTTCAGGAGAGCTTCTAACAATGGCTGGCCCAATATGGTAGCAAGGATAGATTTTCTCACAACCTGGGTGGGGGAAAGGAGGGAATAGTGGTGGGGAATGGAATTTCTCTTGGGGGCAATGAGACCCATGTCCACAAGCCTGGAGTCGGGGAGCCTGAGCTATTGGCCATTGATGAGGCCATAGCTTGAGTTCCTGGGCCCTCTTCTGGTGGAAGAGGCATGTGGGTAGGTCATTTAACCTCTCTTGGACTCATTTCACTTTCTTTTTATGTAAAATGAGAGGGTTGGGTTAAATAGATTGCTAGGGTCCCTTCTAGCTCTGACATCCTGAAACTCTGCCAATTGCAGATGGGTCCTGCCTATTGGGGAGTCAGGGCTAGATTCTACTTCAATTCAACTTACCAAACCTTTATTGAATAGCCACTATAGATAGGACCCTATGCTAAGCACTTGCTGGGCATTTGAACAAAGGCAGAGTGCCGTATAGTAGGTACTGGATTTAAAGTCAGAAGATTGGGGCTCAAATCTAGACTCTGCTAATTCCTAGCTGGATATTATTGGTCAAGTCAGTTTTCCTGTTGAGGCCTCAGTTTCCCGATCTGTAAAATGAGAAGGTTGGACTAGATGATATATAAAGCACCTTCTTGTCCTAAAAGACTGCATCAAGTATGTGTGCTGCCTGTATATGTACATGTCCACATGTAGCTTGTGGAGAGGCTTGGCTAGATAGCTCAGGAATCTGGCCTACCCCTCTCCAAGGGAGACTTTCATTCCTGACTGGAGAGGAGCAGCAAAGGGCTAGCTGCTCAGCTTTCCTCTGAGAGGGGAGTACTGGACATCTATCTTGGTCCAGCTTCAAAAGCAGCAAAGCCGCTAACTTCCCTGGTTGCTGATGCTTAAAGGAGGGTAACGCAAATATACATCTGTGGGCTTATTCTTCTCCACCAAATGCTAGTTAAACAAATGGTGAATAGTGAGTAACCCCATCTATCCAAGCAGATAGCAAATAGAAATAGAACTTCTACAGATCAGAATGTACCAGAAAATACCAGAAAAAGTGAATGACTTTAGATAGAAGCAAGCTGATATCTCACTCAACCAAGAGAGAGACTCTGGTCTCATCCAAGGCGAAATTCTTTGAAGTCTCTGGGGAGGCAGGCTGGAAATCAAAGATATTTTGAAGGGTCAGCTTCCCCTGTGTTTGACACTTTCAAAGTCATTTTTCTCTATCCTTCCTGTAGCTGGTCCCAAAGAGTCTGGAACCATATGTCCTCTCTCAAAGCAGGAATGAAGTCTCCTCTCCAAAACTATTGTACCAGCCCCTCCCCATTCATCTCCCCCCAGCACTGAGTCACCATTCTCTCTGCCAGTTAGGAGAATCTCATGCAAAGTACACCAGGCTTGAAACCTTCATTTTAACTCTGAAATTTCTGTGATCCTATGTTTTCAGAAAGTCATATCATCCTTATATATCATACTTATTTACTTATGTCTCATTATTTCCCCACCCCCACATACACACTAGATCATAAATTCCTTGAGGGCAGATACCATATTATTTTTCATTTTTATATCCCCAGTGGTGAACACAGGGTCCTGTATAATAGTAATTACTTTGGATCATTAAGGATTTTTACTACTGTGAATATTTGTTGAGTAGTCTGAAAGAGGCATAAGATAGGTTTATAACTATGATACAAAGCAGAATGTAACAAGTGCATAAAAAAGACCCAAAGTCCAGATGAGGTTCAGAGAGGAGAGTGATCCTGTCCAGTGGGAGGATCAGGAAGGGCTTCATGGAGGAAGTGGTATTCTGGGGCTCTTCTTGGAGGAAATCCAGTCACATAGAATTATAGAATGAAAGTTCAGAACACAGAACGCTAGCAATGAAAGAGTCCTTGGAACAAAGAATATTAAAGTTAGGAGGGACCTTAGAACATAAAATGTTAGAGCTGGAAAGAACCTTGTAGCATCTAATGATGTACCTGGAAGGCAACTTAGAGCACAGAACATAACATGTCAAAGTTGGAAGGAACCTTAGAACACAGAATATCACCTTTACCCAATTCCAACCTTAGAACACAGAATATCAGGGTTAGAAGAGCCTTTAGAAATCCTCTAGAGGGCCAGCTAGATGGTACAGTGGATAGAACACCAGCCCTGGATTCAGGAGGACCTGAGTTCAAATCTGGCCTCAGACCCATAGCACTTACTAGCTGTGTGACCCTGGGCAAGTCACTTAACCCCATTGCCCAGCGAGCCCCCCACACACACACCAAAAATCCTCTAGACAAACCTCCTTCTTTTTGTAAAGAAGAAAGGCCTTGAGCCTTGGGCTCTTTTCCCAGACTTCCCAGTCCCATTGAACTAGCTATGTAATCTTGGGCAATTTACCAAATCTTTCTGACCTTCAGGGTCCTCCTCTGAAAGATGTCTAGAGCTGGTCTGATTGTAGGCAGTTGTGTTGAGGCTACTCAGATTCTGTTCAAGGACTAACCCCTTCTTTATTTCCCCAGGCTAACTCCTGCTCCCCTTCCCCAGCACTGGCTGGATGAGACAACAGCTGCATTGGTCATTCTCCCCCAGGGCCTCCCTGCTCTGGAGAGCAGAGGGGGCCGAGGGGGCAGCCTCTCCTTGCCATCACCTGGGATTCCTCACTGCCTTCTGAGATGGGACTGCCATGCTCTAAACCCTTAAGCAGTTCTGTGATCAGTAGTGGGAGAACTGAAAGGACCCAACACTGGGAATGGAAGGTTGTCTTCCCACCTGTCTCTTTCTGTGAGACTTGGGGCAAGTCCCCTAAGCTCACTGAGGCTTAGTTTTCTCCCCTGGAAGATGAGGAAAATTCTTTCCTCTGTCCCACTGGTACAGTCTTGGGTGGGGTGTGGAGGTTTGAGGGCTTTTTAACCTGCCCATACTGTGAACTCAATAAATTCTGGCATTGTTTGTATCTCTGACTACAGATGACATGCTTTGATTAAGAACCTGTATGTGGAATGAGGGTAAAGAGGTGAGAGGCTGGGGGAAGGGGAATGAGCCCTTAAATTGGGAGTCAGGAGACCTTGCTTCCAGTCCCACCTTGACGCCGCGTGATTTTGTGCGATTACCTGTGTGACTTTGGGCAAATAATAATAATAACAACAATAACAACAATAGATAGCACTTAGGTGATGCTATGAATGTGCTTTAAGGTTTGCAAAGTGCTCTAGGAATGTTCCCTGATTTGATCCTCATAACCACCCTATAAGGTAGGTGCTATTATCAGGGAAATGAGGCTGAGAGAAAATGAGATTCGCACGGGGACCGGATTTCAACTCCGACTTTCCTGCCTCCCCTTCTAGCGTTCTATCGATTCTGCCACCTCGCTCCCTTTAGGAGGTAAGGGGGCTGGTATTGGGGCTGGCACTGAGGTCTAGGGGTGTGACCCACCTCTCTTCCGGCTATTCCTCAACGAGGAAGGCCAGATGATACCTACTTCATCATGGCACACTCCCCCCACATCCCACCCCTGCTATGTGTTAAGCCCTCGAAGGTGAAAAGGTATGCATGTAATTTTGCTTTCTTTCCTTTTAGTCAGGATTTAGCCAGGGTGCATCTAACAAAACCCAGAATAGCATACAATAGCAGATTAGGGTTATCCACTCCAACCCTGCCATTGTACAGACACTAAAACTGAGGCCCAGGAGAGGGGATTTGCTGTGTCTGAAGTCACTTAATGAATTATATTGGGACTAGATCTCGGGGGTGCTGATTACCTGGCCAGAGTGCTCTCTTCCCATCTTGCTGCCTTTTTTCCCCTCCCCCGGTCTTCTCCAGGGCCCAACAGAAAGAAAAGCAGATGTTCAGATCCTGCACATGAGAGGGAAGAGGATGCAGAGTGAGTGCTGCCTACCTTCCCTCGGCCTCCCAGGCCTGGAATGTCCACAGCAGCATAAGGGCAAGTGGGAAGATGAGGCTGGGGGTGGGTGGAGTGGCAGGGCGCACTGGAGCCAGCTCCAAAGAGTTGTTACATTTTTGGTGTGGATCTTCACACCTCGGATATCAGCAAACCACAAATCAAGGTTTGATTGTTTTACTGATTGTTCAAACTTGAGAAAGTGATGGAGAAAATATGAATACTGTAGATAAAACCAGAGAGCCAGTTGTTAAACTTTTTCCAGCACACCTCATCAAAGTGGCCCTCTCTGGGTTTGGGGGGATCCCTGGTATTTACTCTTTTGGTGACCTTGAGCAATCCATTCAGCTTCTCTGGGCCTCAGTTTCCTCATGTGTAAAATGAGGGGACTGGACTAGAAGACCTCTGAAGTCCTGTCCAGCTCTAAATTCTACTAATCCATTCAAGGTCCAAGAATGTCTCCCACTAATCAGGCCCGGCAAATCATGGCTCCTTCCACATTGGGCCAGGACACATTCCAACGGATTCAATTAAAAATGTTAAATGCCTATGATATACAGAGGATTAAACATGCCCCTAGGACATATATATATATATATATATAATTATTATTATATATGCCTATATGCATATACACATCCATCCATCTATATGTGTATATGTATATATATACATACATATATATGTATACACATATATCAATATCTACATATCTATGTCTCTATATATCTATGCATATAGATATATAGGGTATAGATGGATAGATAGGAAGATAGAAAGAAAGATGGATAGATGGATGGATAGATAAATAGATAGAAAGACTGATAGAAACATAGATGATAGATGGATAGATAGAAAGATGGATAGATAGATGGATGGATGGATGAATAAATAGAAAGAAAGAAAGAAAGAAAGAAAGAAAGAAAGAAAGAAAGAAAGAAAGAAAGAAAGAAAGAAAGATGCATAGATATATAGGTAGATAGATGGATGGATGGATAGATGGATAGATAGATAGACTGAAGCACTGAGCAGTTAAATCGTGCTCAGGGATATGTACATAGCTTGTCCTTGAAAGCTAGAATTGTTCTCTTACTGTTACAAGAGACCGCTCACAGAGGGGAGGGGGATAATCTACAAATATTTGTAATATAAAAGCAAAAAATAAATAAACGAAAAAGAAACAGAAATCATGTCTATGTAAAAAATAAGTTAGAATCCCACTTCAAACATATTCTAGCTGTGTGACCCTGAGCGAGCCCCTGGAGTCCTCTGGGCTTCAGTTTCCATATCTGCTAAATAAGTGGGTTGGACTCAGACCTCTCTGGGGTCTCTTTCAGGGCTGACTCTGATCTCATGATGCTAAACTGGCTGCTGAGATCAGAAGATTCCCTGGGTAGAAGCGGAAGAGTTAGAGAGGATATACCGGGTATGCTTATCCTGGGAACTGGGCTTCTTATGAGGATGTGGCGTATTCTGGGGCTAGGACTGACCGTGCCAGAAGGGCTGGGAGTCTCAATAGCCTTGTCTACACTGTTAAGGCCAGTGAATCAATGGGCCCTGCACCTTCTCCATCATCCCTACCTCCCACCCCAAGCCTCTCACCTCAGGTGACTCATATCTCCTCTGGGCTCCTTGTGTCAGCCACTGTCTGCAAAATGCCGGTCATGAGTCGGCAACCAAGATATTTCCTCTCCTTTTCTGATGGCCAGCTGCTCCATTTGATGCCTTCTTCCCACAACTACCTCTCAGGGCTGGACGCTATCTATGTGTCTAATTCTCAGCTCTCTCCCTTCCTCCCTGAAGGCCTTGGGGCTAGCATCCTATAGATTCCCAGACCTCTCTGAGGAGTGACCATGGTACTATGCAAGCAAGGAGACTAGGCCCTGATAACATTCTCCAGTGACCTGTGAGGACTCAGCCAATAACTCACTTGGTGACTGAGCAAGTCACCTCTCCTTGCCTGGCCTCCCCATCAATCAAGTGAGGTTCAAATGATTTCTAATTTCCCTTCCAGCACTGAAAATCTAGCACAATGTTACTGCATGTTTTGGAGGTCAGGGGAGAATCTAGACCTGTGATTCCATTGGTGTGAGGAACTCTCATTGTAAAAAACTCTCTCTGGGGGCAGCTAAGTGGCGCAGTGGATAGAGCACAGGCCCTGAAGTCAGGAGGACCTGAGCTCAGATCCAACCTCAGACCAAACACTTGACACTTACTAGCTGTGTGACCCTGGGCAAGTCACTTAACCCCAATTGCCTAAAAGTAAAAAAAAACAAAAACAAAACAAAGCAAAAAAACCTCTCTGTGAGGCAGAATAGCTACTCATTTATTCTGTGTTGATCTCTTTCCACCTCCCTCCTCCTTCCCCCACCCCCCCAGTAGCTAGTGCCTTTCCACTCCCACAATTACTTTGTATAGAGTGAACTCCCAGATAAGGAAATTTACTCTACTAATGCAGGTCAGTACCTTTTCAAGAGTTGTCTAGAATATTTACAAGTTAAGTACTTTATCTAGGTTAATAAAGCTAGTATGGGCAGCTAGGTGGCACCTGGAGTACTAGGCCTTAATTCAGGAAGAATCATTTTCCTGAATTCCCTCAGACACCTCCCAGCTCTGTGACCCTGGTCAAGTCACTTAACGCCATTTGTCTCAGTCTCCTCATCTGTAAAATGAGCTGGAGAAAGAAATGGCAAGCCATTCCAGTATCTTTGTCTCCAGGACTTGTCACATAGTAGGTGCTTAATAAATGCTTATTGAGGGGCCAGCTAGGTGGCGCAGTGGATAGAGCACTGGTGCAGGAGTCAGAAGGACCTGAGTTCAAATCTGACCTCAGACACATAACACTCACTAACTATGTGACTCTGGGCAAGTCACTTAACCCCAATTGCCTCACTAAAAAAATAAATAAACAAAAATAAATAAATGCTTATTGATTGATTATGTATAATTTAAAGGCAGACTATTATCTAGGGCACTGAGAGTTGCCCAAGATCACACACCTGGATCAAAGGCTGATTTTGAAATCAGGTCTGCTGCATTTCAGAGACAGATGTCTATCCAGTATGTCATGGTGCTTTGCATATAGTAAGCATTTAATGAATGATTGGATTTTAAATTGGCTTGAATTCTGAGTTCCCTCCCAGGTCTGACATTCTATGGCTTATGTTCTCAGGTCCTTTCTAGCTCTAACAATATTGTTTATGTTTTTTTTTTAATTTTAAAATCTTTTTAAAAAACTTTAAATAGCATTTCATTTCCCCCTAATCACATATTAGGAAAAATTTTTAGCATTCATTTTTACAAGATTTTGAGTTCCAAATTTCCGCCCCCCTTCCCTCTCCTCCCCTCTTCTGAAAATGGTAAGCATTTTGATGTAGTTTATATATGTGCTATCATGTAAAACATATTTCCATATTCATCACAGTTGTGGAAGAAGAAATGGATCAAAAGGAAATAAAACCATGAGAAAGAATAAAGTAAGTGGAAAAAAATATGCTTTGATCTGCATTTTGAATCCATTAGTTCTTTATCTGGATGTGGACAGCATTTTACTTTGTGAGTCCTTTGTACTTGTCTTGGATCATTGTATTGCTGAAAAGAGCTGAGTCATTCATAGTTGATCATCATGTGATGTTGCTGATACTGTGTACAATGTTTTCCTGGTTCTGCTCATTTCACTTTGCCTCAGTTCATACAAGTGACTTTCTAGGTTTTTCTGAAATCTGAAATATTTATTATTTCTTATCATACAATAGTATTACATTACATTCATATACTAAAGCTTGTTCACCCATTCCTCAATTGATGGGTATTCTCTCAGTTTCCAATATTTTGCCACCATAAATAGGGCTGCTATAAATATTCTTGTACATGTAGGTCCTTTTCCCTTTTTTATGATCTCTTTAGGATACAGACTTAGGAGTGATATTGCTGGATCAAAGAGCATTGCACAGTTTGGTTGCCCTATAGGCATAGTTCCAGATTGCTTTCCAGAGTGGGTGAATCAGTTGACAACTCCACCAACAATGCATTGCCATCCCATTTTTCCCACATCC